GAGGAAGAACTATCAGACAAATCAGAGTTCTCGTACGATCAGACATGAAATTGGATAGGTTAAGACCAGATCATGACCAGATCATATCATACTGTATTTGATAACCTACAATCAATGGTCATACTCAGTAAAAAAATGTTATTATAATTCGCTTTTTTTACTTTCCAAAAGGGCCTCAAATTCTTGTGTGCCCAAGGGCCCCATCCTAGTTTAAGACGTCCCTGCATACTCCTCTATCATATACTATTTCTTCGCTCACTCCCCTCTTACACATATCGTCTTTCATGCAATCCATCCATTTCTTCTTAGGTCTACCTCTTCCTCTATATCCTTCCACATTCATAGTTAACATTCTCTTACCAACCTCATTTTCATATCGTCTCATCACATGTCCATATCATCCCAAACGCGCACTTCTCAGCTTCTCTGTCACAGGTTTCACTTTCAGACTTCCTCTAACATATTCATTCCGTATTCTATCCATTCTCGTTACTCCACTTATCCATCGCAACATTCGCATCTCTGCTGAATACAATCGCCTTGAGATAGTAGTAGTAACTTGAGTTGTAAAATTCACATTCTTTATCTGGAATCGCTAACAAAACACTATTCACCAGGTGTATGCCGTGGGTTAGTTTAATCTAAAATTAACCTCAAACAGCAACCTAAAAAATATAGGGAGACGATAGCCACAATAAATAAATATAAACAACACTTTATTTTACACAAATAACATATATTTTCCGCCACATACACGAAATTTTACAACGAAAAAATTATAATTAACACAAAAGTTACGATGTAAAGACATTAATCACAGTTCTAATACAAAAGATACCTTCGACCAAATTAAGATTTAATAAAGATTGTGCTTTTTTTTTATTGCTTAGATGTGTGGACGAGCTCACAGCCCACCTGGTGTTAAGTGGTTACTGGAGCCCATAGACATCTACAACGTAAATGCGCCACACACCTTGAGATATAAGTTCTAAGGTCTCAGTATAGTTACAACGGCTGCAGCACCCTTCAAACCGAAACGCATTACTGCTTCACGGCAGAAATAGGCGGGGCGGTGGTACCTACCCGTGCGGACTCACAAGAGGTCCTACCACCAGTAAAAACCTTCATAGCTTCATGCTGACCTTCACTGTCATTGAATAAACGTGCGAGCTCACGGCCCAACTGTTGCTAAGCGGGTCCCGAACCTCTTCGACAAGATGAAAACGTTTATAACTTCAATTACTTAGACTATACTTGAGACCTTAAAACGGATATCTCAAGGTGGGTGGCGCATTTACGTCGTAAATGTGTATGGGCTCAAGTAACGACTTAACACCAGGTGCGTTGTGAGGTCGTCCACCCAACAAAACAATAAAAAAAGACTTAAATTAGTATGGGGGATCCGAGACGAATAGTAACTCACATGACGTCCCCATCTCCTGACTGCTGATGTCCATCTTATGAAACCAGTGCCTGACTACACATTCACCTTGTCACTTTCCTGCCAAGTTCAGGCGAGAAAGAATCTGGTGTTTCTCTTTAAAGGGTAGAATAGCCGGCAATAAAATTGAGACGTAAATCTCAGGGCAGTCGCTTAAGCATTTGATGATCTAGTATGAGACCCGGCTACAAATTCATAAATTAAACCGGTGTTGCCCAACGTGGGGCCCACGCCCCACAAGGGGACAATTTGATTATTAAGGGGGGCAATCGCACCAAATGAATATAGAAAATCTGTATTAAAATTATTTCGAATTTGAATTCCAGTTTTTTATTATATGTTTTGAATTATTACTTACTGTGTTCTGATAACAATTTCATAGTGATTTCTTCCTGTAACCTATCATTTATGTTAAGTGAAAAAATCAATAGTTTAATGTTAAAAATTATGTATGAATGGGGGATATAAAAATTTTAGAAATGTTACAGTGGGGCGCGGCACAAAAAAGGTTGGAAAACACTGAATTAGACGATCGAAATCGAATTTTTACATAATTATATATACATTTATAAATGGGAGAATGCATTTTCAACAAGATTAACAAAAGATAAGACACCGTAGAAGCGAGGAGGGATGTTTGGAACCCCCACTTACTTCCCCACTACGCTGTGCTCACGGGTCAACTCACACCGCCGCTTTTCATTATACCCTTTGCCAGCTACCCCTCTTATTACATCTCTACCCCACTCCACTTAGGTAGGAACTGAAGACATTAAGTGACAGACTTTTTTTTTATTGCTTAGATGGGTGGACGAGCTCACAGCCCACCTGGTGTTAATTGGTTACTGAAGCCCATAGACATCTACAACGTAAATGCCCATCCGCCTTGAGATATAAGTTCTAAGATCTCAGTATAGTTACAACAGCTGCCCCACCCTTCAAACCGAAACGCATTACTGCTTCACGGCAGAAATAGGCAGGGCGGTGGTACCCGCGCGGACTCACAAGAGGTCCTACCACCCGTAAAAAAGTCTAGTTATTTTACCAAACGAAACCAAAACCTGTGGTCATGGGAGTGCATTATTAGCTCCGTTACCAAGTATGTCAATAGCATGGTGCACCCTTGCCAACGTAAGACATCACATGACACACGAAAATATTTACGGTAAGTTTATTTGTGCACATTTATATTGAAATATGAGTTTCATGGTTAGACGGTTTAGATGAAGGCACGTCAAAAGAAATCACGAAATCGCACGTCTTAATTTGGTCAAAGACCTTCAAACTTAAACGCAATTTCTTAATGTATTAAATAAATGAACAAAAATATATATTATCTTTTCAGATTTTATGGAACCAACGTTTTCGGTGTTAAGAAATTAACAAAATAATCACAGTATTTTTAGTTTTAAGACCGATACAAAAATATATCACAAAATATAAAGGGAAAAAATTAAATAGAAATATTATTAATCGAAAAATTATTATTATTTTCTCACAAAGCCTTCACGCATACACGACAAAACTTCAAATACTACGGTACCATATTTTGTGTTTTTCTTCGTTTTTTTTTTTTTCATTTGTCAAGTCGCGTCTAGGGAAATACTTCAGCGTGCAAAGGAACGAGATCCCAACCTCCGTCAACTGAGAAGGGACCTTTCGTTGAATTACGGAGGGCCAAGAGAGGTTTGAGAACTAAGACTTAGCTAAGCTCTTAAGAAAAAAAGGGAGAGAGAGATAGCGAGGAAACAATTACCCCAACTATTTAAAATCTTTCGGGCGATACAAACGCTTTTACTCTTTTTAAAACTGTCACCGTCACGGATGACACCGTCAAAAATAAAAGTAAAAGTTGTTTTTTAAATACACTTTTACAAAAACGATGTGCTGTTTTTAAAAAAACATTTAATATTTAAAACACTTTTACAAATTGAATCCCCCGTTTGTGTGTCGTGAATTATTATGACGATACACAAGAGCCTCAGCATTTTTCATTATTTTTTTATTTATTTCTCGCGGTCCTTTGCACGCGAAAGCTTTTTATGGTTCCATTCGCGATTTCACTTTTTTTTTTTGTTAAATAACACACACAATACATCAGTTTTACACTATCACAGAGATTCGTATATTAAGAAACATGACTAAAAAAAATACACAGTCGACTAATAAAGAGCGTTTCATAATCCAGCCCTTATTCTCATAGAAATGCATTTGCCACGAAACTGTAGGGGATTCGTCAGTCAATAAATAAATCTAGTTTCTAGTTTCTTCTAATTTCTTTACTTTCTAACATTATACGTTGTTTTGTATGAAAATTTTAGGGACGAATTGATTTTTTTATTGATGACTCGCTAACCTGGCAGACTTCGTAGTGCCTCAATCGATAAGTAAAAGACCTAAACTTTTGTATAAAATAAACTTAAAGCAAACAAAAAGGAATCCGTCCGACAGGGGACATAACAAAGGAAAAACAAAATTGTTATTTTTATTTAATTCCGAGCATTTTCATATTTATCTACCTTTTAAACCTTCTCTAGACTTCCACAAATAATTCAAGACCAAAATTAGTCAAATCGGTTCAGCCGTTCTCGAGTTTTAGCGAGACTAACGAACAGCAATTATTTTATATATATATATATTGATTGATTTTAGTATTTCAATTTATTTTCATTTGAATTATGGATTTCACTTAGAATGTCCGGCATATGGTTTACAAAAATACAGGACGTCTCAAATGATACCCCCCAGTTCTTTGTAGAGATTAAAATTTAGTGAGTAAACATTCTACAAGGCCGATCATGTAATGAAATTTAATCAAAAACACATCTTAAAGATACTACTAACATGATAACTCTTGTCGGTTTCGTCAATCGCGCGAAACGGTATTAAAAAAACAAAAAAAAACTTTACTTAATTCTATTCATTTTTTTATGCCCTTGTAAGCAGACGAGCATACCGCCACCTGATGGTGAGTGGTTACCGTCGCCCATGGACTTCAGCAATGCTAGGGACAGAGCCAAGCCGCTGCCTACCGCTTAATACTCTCCAGAAGCCTCGTTTGAAGAAGGACATGTCATAGCGCTCGGGAAACACCATGGAGGGGAGCTCATTCCATAGCCGGATGGTACGTGGCAAAAAAGATCTCTGGAAACGCACTGTGGATGACCGCAGTGGCTCCAGGTAGTATCAATGAACTCTACTCCGGTGGCGGGCGGTGCGATGGTAAATGGTTTGTTTTAATGGATGGTTTATTTGCTCAACACTTTTGACAAACCCGTACGGATGACTAAAGATTTTCTCTAATTCTCCTTTGTCGTATCACTCTTGTTAGAACGGTCGTGGTCGTCATGCAGCATCATTGCTGTGGGCAGATGTTATGCGCCTCACGTGTAATCGCCACTTCTCCCAGTTCGTAGTGAGCCTGGCACACTCAGCCGCCAACTGCTGACTTGACTTGGTTGGCCCATCGCATGAGCAATCTTCCACGCGATCTGGTGCCTTCTACTTTGCCCTAAACGACAAGGCAATTCATAATAATCTAATACGAATTGATAATTGCATTGAGAAGTCACAAGCTTGGTTAGCTTAAAGTCAGGTAGCTTTTATTAAATAGGCTACCCTTTGACCTGACTTGCTAGAAATGGCGTTATTAATCTATCACCTTTCTGTCAATTATTTCCTGACAACATATTTTCTAAAAAAAAAAGGAAACTTCTAGATAATATAGATTTAACATCTCAGTCTAGATTTATTACAAACTGACAAATCCTTCCTACACATACGATACGATGCAGATGAATCGAAATTCTCACAAAAAATGTTAACTAGTCACTCACGACATTTATAAGACATTCAATACATAATATATAAGTGTAAAAAATAATACATCTTGAATATAATCGAAAAAGTACATTTATACAAAGTTACATATTTACCACAACATCTATTTATTTCTATAACGTACTATACGAGTGTATTAATGCAGTTTTACGGTTTTTTTTTTATTAACTTTACCAAAGTCACGGGATGACCGGAACGAGCAAATTTTCAATTCATTATTTTATCGAGACGACATAATTACAATCCCCTTTCCCTCGAAAGCGTGTTTCTTTTACGCAAAAGAGTCATCAAGTGACCACGCACTAATGTGACGTCACACAAAAAGGTAAAATTGCATTAAAAATCTTACTTTACATCTCACGATTATGTATTAAATATAAATTTACATCCGATACTGGTGCACACAACTAAGTTGAAGCTAGAACGTGGACATTAAAAAAAATACGTATTTTTTTTTTTCATTTATACCATTAATACATTCAAGAGTCGTAGAAAAATAGCTAAGTTATAGGAATTTCACATGAATGAAAAAAAAAAACACTATTTTCATAACGTTTGGATTACATACATATACATACAATAATATGATCATACATATCATAGATAAGATAAGATTACGATAAAGTTTTTTATTTTTTTATTAAATCCGTCACGTTAACTTTTTCAGTCTGTTTCTATGTTTATTTTTTGCCTGTTCCTTTCTTGTTGCGACCTTGCTTGATGACCTGGACCAATTTGATTTTCTGGGCGTCATTGCTGTTCATGTACTCTTGGAGGAGCTGGGGGGAGGGAGCGTCGTTAGAAGCCGTTAATTTGAATTCGGATCGGTTTTTATACGGACTTCGAGAAAAGAGGCGTTTCTCAATTATTATTTTTTATTGCTTAGATGGGTGGACGAGCTCACAGCCCACCTAGCGTTAAGTGGTTGCCGAGCCCCATAGACATCTACAACGTGAATGCCGCTACCCACCTTGAGATATAAGTTCTAAGGTCTCAGTATAGTTACAACGGCTGCCCCACCCTTCAGACCGAAACGCATTACTGCTTCATAGCAGAAATAGGCAGGGTGGTGGTACCTACCCGTGTGGACTCACAAGAGGTCCTACAACCTATGGGCTCCATGGGCCTATGGGCCAGTAACCACTAAACGCCAGGTGGGCTGTGAGCTCGTCCACTCACCTAAGCTATAAAATATATATATAGCAAACTAATGAAAGAGGATGTCAAGAAGTAATTAAATCTACTACAGTTATTCTAAGTACTTTTCGACTCAGGGCATAACTTCAGCGGCAGGGTACTGTGGTACCACCAGGATTCCGTGATCATACATCCGATTGGTTAATACAAGCTAACTCCGTACGTATTGTCAGTCGGCATCAGCGCCTCATTTTGAGAGGGCGGCACGACACAGAAACCCTTTGGGCCAAGATGACTACAACCATGTCTTACCTTCATGCTGAGCTCGGCAGCGATGGCGGCGGCGGCCGAGGGTTGTTCGGAGAGCGCGACCAGGGTCGGCAGCAGCGCGTGGCTGTGGTTCTTGGACACCAGCCAATTGGCGGGCAGCGTGCAAAGCGTCTTTATCACGCTCCAACCCTCGCATATAGTTTCCTGGTTAACAAAACACATGTCTTGATCGGGCCTTATCGACCTTAAAGAGCCAAATACAGGTAACACAATTCAAATCTATATATTACTAGCTGACCCGGCAAACATTGTTTTGCCATATATAAATAAGATTTCTAAGGAATTTCTAGTGTAGAAAAAAAACTAACTTATTGAAGTGTGTAAGGATGTGGTAAATGAGTGAAAGAGGCATGTAGCGCTGTGAACGTTGAGGGAATATATAATAAAAATAACAAAACCTCATTCAACCACATAATACCTCATTATAACAAAAAAAAAAAAGCCAAATAAAAAAAAAATGTTAGGGGTGGACAACCCTAATCACTTAGGGGTATGAAAAATAGATAGTAGCCGATTCTCAGGCTTACTGAATATGCATAAAAAATTTCATGAGAATCGGTCAAGCGGTTTCGAAGGAGTATGGGAACGAACATTGTGAAACGAGAATTATATATATTAGATTATTAATACGTGAAGCAAAAATGTTGTAGTCGTATTTACGAAAATTGCGCGCATGGAGGAGTATAAAATTTCCTACACTTATACAGAATATAGAGGAGTGCAGGAGTGTAGGGTACGTACGGACAGCACAAAAATGTCAAAATAGATTCGTTTCCTTTTGTCGCAGGTGCATCGACCAGGACGCAGTTGCGTAACGCGAGAGAAAGACGTTAAGTTTCAATTTGTGTACACACTTAGTCCCGGCGGAGGCGGCGCGGCGTACGCGACCGTTTATATGAATAATTAACGTAATATACGTTCGCGTCACTACTACGCCGCGCAGTGAGCTTTTTGGGAAAGTTCGTGTCGTTGTTTTCGAGACGATGTAATTGTGGACGAATTGGGAAGGCTATTGTAGCTTTTTTTTTCGTACCTATTCTAGAAACCTCGAGGTTACTAGAGATATGAGAAGACTAGATTCGCCGAACGCTACTTTTTTTTGAAAAAAATTATGACCTGGTAACTAAGACCTTTAGGTCAAGTCTTGTTTTAATTTTAATGAAAACTTTTTTAAATTAAAAATGATATTATGTAATGAAATGAAGTTAACTAATATGAAACATGAAATGAAAGGAGATGAGATGATATATGTGATGAAATATAATCTCAGTAAAATGGCGGTCAGTTACTGAGATTTTTTCAGGGAACTTTTTGGAGGATCCCGAGAAGTTACGTCCAGCGGCTTTGTGTACTTTCACAGATGTTAAACAGTTAATAAACCACCGTTATTACACATTTAAACCTGAAGAAACACTAAACAGGCTAAATAAAACAAATTACACAACTTCACTCCTCGCTTTCCCGCCAAAAAGTCCAACCGAGCGCTACTCATTCTACTGTCAATAAAACGTCAGGTGTCATGTGATAAAGAACTGTATTTAGTCGTGTGCTAGTACTTGCCTATTGGCTACAATAGCATAACCGATACTATGGACCGAATGGTAAACAGTCGACGTCGCCTAAAACACGTCATTACGGATCCTGCCGATCAGCTAACAGTGCTTTTAGGTACCACAAGCACCGGTCATCATCGAGTAAATTAACCCATAGACACAGCCCACTGAGTTTCTTATTTTATTGCTTAGGTTTGTGGACGAACTCACAGCCCACCTGGTGTTAAGTGGTTACTGGAGCCCATAGACATCTACAACGTAAATGCGCCACACACCTTGAGATATAACTTCTAAGGTCTCAGTATAGTTACAGCGGCTGCCCCACCCTTCAGACCGAAACGCATTACAGCTTCACGGCCGAAATAGGCAGGGCGGTGGTACCTACCCGTGCGACGTCCTACGACCAGCAATTACGCAAATTATAATTATTCAGGTTGGTATTTGAGATTTGAGTCAGATACGTATTTCATTAGAAAAATCGGTACCCGCTGGCGAGATTCGAACACCGTTGCATCGCTACATAGGAACGCACCGGACGCCTTATCCTTTAGGCCACGACGACTTGAGTGATGTGTGAGACAAACGCCTTTGCAAATTCAAAATCATTTCTTAGATGTCAGTATAGCACACTTGTTGAATGTCAAAATATAAATAACAATGTTAACTCTACCACCGGTTCCAAAAAAAGCCACGGTCCTGAGAAGAACCGGCGAAACAAACTCAGCGGATTTTTTTTTTTGTTTTTTCTCAAACATTGCTTTTTTTTTTAATACTCGCGGTCCAATTAACCGTTCTCATCGGGAGGTAATAACGAATGCTAATAAACACGTTACGTTTAGTCCCCGAGACACACACGTGTCGAGTGCAGGTGCACCCACCCGCATGGGAAAACCAACGGTCGGACTACACGAGAATGGAGACTTTACACGGCGCGTTAATTACATGTGTACAGGTGTTTGTGTCCGGTCCATTAGAAAGTGGCCGCTGTCCTTCGTGTCCAAGTCGCGGCCTAATGCGGAAGACGTGTCGGTTAACGCGCCCGTTACGTGAACGACTTCCGCGACGACACAATCGGAACGTGTAAAATCGGATCCGTGAAAATTTGTAACGTGCGAACCTGCGTGGATAATGTGCTTAGTGCTAGTTTTTTAACATTCTCGATGACGTAAAAGTTAACTCAAATTCTTTTTATAGCCCACGTAGGCAGTCGAGCATACGGCCCACCTGATGGTGAGTTTTCCCGTCGCCCATAGACTTCAGCAATGCCCTGTTCCGAGTTATTATTTAAAAAATATGAAACCTGAGGTCGCGTAGTCGCTGTCAAAAGAGTCGGCCGTGATGATGGAGCACTCACCTGCAGCTGAGGGTTGTTGACGACCACGAAGCCGACCAGCACTATGAGGTCGAGCACCATCGCCTCCGACAGCGTCTGGTCCAGTCGCTGATTACTCAGTCCTGGACAATAACACAGCTCTATTCATTTATTGTCGTCGTGGCCTAAAGGATAAGACGTCCGGTGCATTCGTGTTGAGCGATGCACCGGTGTTCGAATCCCGCAGGCGGGTACCAATTTTTCTAATGAAATACGTACTCAACAAATGTTCACGATTGACTTCCACGGTGAAGGAATAACATCGTGTAATCAAAATCAAACCCGCAAAATTATAATTTGCGTAAGCACTGGTGGTAGAACCTCTTGGGAGTCCGCACGGGTAGGTACCACCACCCCGCCTATTTCCGCCGTGAAGCAGTAATGCGTTTCGGTTCGAAGGGTGTGGTAGCCGTTGTAACTATACTTGAGACTTTAGAACTTATATCTCAAGGTAGGTGGCGCATTTACGTTGTAGATGTCTATGGGCTCTAGTAACCACTTAACGCCCGGTGGGCTGTGAGCTCGTCCACCTGTCTAAGCAATAAAAAATAAATTGTCAAGGCTTTAATAAACAAGAATCCCACATAACTGTACTAGACCTTAGAACTCATATCTCAAGGCGGGTGGCGGAATTTACATTGTAGATGTACGGCTCCGGTAACCACTTAACACCAGGTGGACCGTAAGCTCGTCCACAAACGTAGGCAATAAAAATAAAATAAAAACACCACGACCACGACTGCTCTGCCTAAAGTAAATGACTATGATGATGAATTCATTTTAAGACGTGACATTATATTGTCCTTTTCCTTATCTCTTATATGGGCAGATGATCTCACGGGCCACCGTGTTTTAAGTGCTTATCGGATCCCATACATATCAACAACGTAAAAGCCATCATCCACCTTGAGACACGAGTTCCAGTATAGTAATCTTCACGGCAGAAATAGGCAGAATGGTGGTACCCATGCAGGGTCACAAGACGTCCTACCATCAGTAAAGATTAGATTTTTTTTTCTTCCTAGTCGTACACTCTTGACAGAGTGGTCGTGGTCATGCATCAGTCGAATCTTGGGACACCGATGCTCTCGCGATGCGACGCCATGTGGCACGATGTTTCCCAGAGTGAGAGCAATCATTTATGTTCGAGTGAGTCACAGATTTTATGAGGTCGGGCCATCGTGTTGGAGATCGTCCACGAGATCTTTTACCCTCGACTTTCCCTTGCACCACCAACCGCTCTATGGAGTCCTCATTTAAACATCAACATCATCAACAACAAAAAGATTAGATTAGGGTAGATGAATACACTACTAATGCCGGTCCCAAACCCGGATGAAAAAAGATGAGGGTTGAGTTGAAGTTTGACCTTTCCACTATAAAACACTCCACACCGAATGTCTGGCGGTGGTCAATTAGCCGGACCCAAATAACGCTTCAGCGGCCTCGAAGAACTAAATCTCTTCCAAAAGCAATGCCGTGGAAAGATGCGGTATCCCACCAAGTGTATTTTCCCAAGAAAGCCTCATGAGGGCACGACCCTCAGCATTGAGGATTATCGACGCAAGGAGATTAATACACAGACGAATGCGTCAAAAGTTTAACGAGAAGCGAGACGGTAGTAAAGAGAAGGAATGCGGTCTTGGTGGCTGCACCTGTGGGAGTGACGCTGTTGGTACTCACGCAGAGCCGTGGTCCTTGGAGCCTCCTTGTCGTTGGGCGCATGTTGAGACAACAGCCTTGCCACTGCCGCTCTGAACTCCAATGGCCAACCGCCTTCACCGAACGCCTCCTGTACACAACATAGCTACATTCACACGACAATAATTTAACTGAAGGTTCTTAACTAAAATCTATCTATAGTGTAATAAAAATCAAACCCGCAAAAACTATATTTTGCGTAATTACTGGTGGTAGAACGTCTTGTGAGTCCGCACGGGTAGGTACCACCACCCTGCCTATTTCTGCCGAGAAGCAGTAATGCGTTTCGGTTTTAAGGGTGGAGCAGCCGTTGTAACTATACTTGAGACCTTACAACTTATATCTCAAGGTGGGTGGCGCATTTACGTTGTGAATGTCTATGGGCTCCAGTAACCACACTTAAAACCAGGTGGGCTGTGAGCTCGTCCACCCATCTAAGCAATAAATAAAAATAAAAAAAAATACATCGTACCGTCATTGTGTACGTGACGTCGAAGTGTGGAGGGTCAGTATATTTCATTTAAACTAGTTTTAAGGTTTTTTCGGTCGCATTTTTCATTGCAATTATATTATTACGGACCCTTTTTCGCAAACTTCACAGTTTTCTTGATCACGGACAAATGATACAATAACGATAATTTAAAAAAACATGCAAGATTATACCCTAAACGTAGATTTAATTAAGTATAATAATAAAGTATTTTTATTAAAAAACATTATCCCATGTGATGATCTTCTATCACCATGCTGTGCTATGAGAAGATGTGGTATGGAACCTGACGTTTGGAGAGGGTCCTTTGATGAGCGTCTCCAAAAATTACGACTCATAATGTACTTTGGGAGGTGTTAAAGGAAAACGTCCTCTTGCGTGTATTCCATGTTTATAATAATCTTAATCCTAGCTTACAATTATGAAGAAGCCTATGTTTCTGGGCGGTCCACCTTATTAGGGAGACATACGAGATTACACCTATCAATTATGTTATATACTAAATGCTATGCTATAATATATAAGTATATACACCTCGAAAACCCAGTCAACTAAATGCGCCAAACGGAATTTCTGATAACGAGACTAAAATGCTTGTTCAAATTTTATAGCATCTACTCGAATTACTCTCTACTCGAATTAATCATCAACCCCGCTTCCAAATAAATTCGGAACACGGAGACCAGTATAAAATCAAATCTGTCTAACTTCCCAAACGAGTATGGGGGGTTCTCGTAACGAAATCTGCGTTAGGGTCAATCTTAGCGTGACCTCGCCACATTCGGGCAGTGATTCCGCGTGCCTGGTCGTGGATTGGTCACGGCTTGTTAGCTTCCCCACCGCCGAGTCGAAGATAAATAAGATTGCGTGCAGTACTTTAAGATCTCACAAGAGATTCGTCTGTAATGTCTTACGGGCACTGATTTCTTTTGCTTATCCGGCGATTTTGTTTCTGTTCTCATTTATGTATCCAGTAGATATGTTTCCAGTAGGTAAGTTTTATTTTATGAAAGTGGCACCGGTGACAGAGAAGCTGAGAAGTGTGTGATATAGAGGAAGAGGTAGACCTAAGAAGAAATGGTATATGATAGAAGAGTATGGAAGGAGAAAACATGTTGCGCCGACCCCAGGTGACTGGGAGAAGGGCAGGAGAATGATGATGATGACGATGAAGTTTTTTTTTATATTGCCTAGCTGGACGTGCTCACGGCCGACCTAAGTGGTTACCAGATACCATAGACATCTATAACGTAAATGCCGCCACCTACGTTGAGTAACAGTTCTAAGGTCTCAGTTTTTACAGTACAACGACTGCCCTAACCTTCCAACCGAAACGTGTTACTGCTTCACGGCAGCTATATACAGGGTGGTACTTATCCGTGCGGACTCACAAGACGTCCCTACCACGCGTAAGAGTATCCTAGACAGAATTTATTTGCGTTTTATTAACCGAAAATCTTTGGTAAATAAATCCAGATACGTCGTACCCACCTGAAGCTATTACTAACTCTCCATTAGTTATCAACAGCAGTGTCTTCGAATGATTGAACTAACTAACCCAGCCTTCCTATCTTGAATAGTGAACATCTGATTAAAGGCATTAACAGACCGTTATGACTGTCGGTACTTGAACCATTGTACCATGGTTCACTTGCGGACTAAATGATAATAACAATAATAATGGTTGGTTCGAAGTAAGTATCAGTTTAACGGCCGTCTGGTGTAGTGGTAAGTGACTACACAAGGGGGTCGCGGGTTCGAATCCCGCCAAGGGAAGATATTTGTATGATAAATATAAATGTCTTTTCCAGGGTTATGGATGTATATTAAATATATGTATGTGTATAATAAAAATCTTACATTTATATCCGTTATCTGGTACCTGTAACACAAGTTCTTTACGAACTTATCACGGGACCAGTTAACGTGGCGTAATTGTTAGTAAATATTTATTTATTATTTATATTTGAAATGTATTCAACTGATAATTTTTAATAAATGTATCTTTATTATGTGATTGATTTTGTTAATGTTAAGTATGTTTCAATGATACTATGTACACATGTGGACTTTGTGTTGTCTGAAATAAAATAAATCATTCATTCAAATCGGTTATTAACCAAAAATATATGTACTTCTGCTTGAATTCTTGAATAGTACGAAGACTTTTACTTTTAACCCTTTTAGTGTTGAGCTTATTTTCTTCACACATTTCGCAGAGATCGCTAAAGATTTTTTGGAAAAACAGAAGTACCATATAAAAACCTTAACTTAATAAAAAAACAAAATTCAATGCTGAATTCACAGCAAAATATAAATAGTTATTTATAAATGTTATTGACTTATTAAAAACTTTATATGTGCTCGCGCTAAGACGCGTCCGCACAGGTCGATAGCTAATACCTATAATCAAACTACGCAAATAGTCGTTATTCCGACATACTGCACTATATACGTATTAATAGAGAGTCGATCTATCGACGCATTCAAAGGGTTAAGATGAGAAATTACATTTTAGCATGAACTCTGACAAAAACCATCAACCCTAAACTTGGTGCACGTGAAAGAAGTGAAACTTCTTTTGCAGTGTGTAGTATTGTGGTTTTTTTAATTTTTCATCCTCAAATATATTTTGTCTTAAGGAATGCTGTGTATAAGAGAAACGAACTAGCTCGATCTCTCTCTCTCACCACAGTCGAGTGGTTCGCGAGACGCTCTATCTACTTTCTCACTCTCGCTCTTGCTAAATTGTATCTTTTCTCTCGAGCCGTAACGAATCTGTCGCGAGTTAATTTTTACTCACAAATCGCCTAAAGAAGTTTCACTTCCAAAACAAATTAAGATTATGCAGAAGCCCAGTTAACCAATACCGCCCCTCAGCCGCCCACATTATCAAACGCAAAACAAATATTAGAGGCAAACAATCAATCGCGGTTTACACGCGTAACGTCCCTTCGATACGGGGCGCATCTGCGACCGCCGCTAATAAACTCATAATTGTGTTTATTATCTATTACAAGACCAACGCGAGTTCTGCGCAAACATCGGACCCTGCTCGCCGAGTGGCTAGAGATGAGGGTGCCGCGGGATTTTTATAAGCTTTTAGAGCGGTTCCAATGCGCTCAATACATTATGCCAGCGGGACTGGCAGACTTAAAACGTGTTACTGGTGGTAGGACGTCTTGTGAGTCCGCACGTGTAGGTACCACCACCCTGCCTATATCTGCCGTGAAGCAGTAATGCGTTTCGGTTTGAAGGGTGGGGCAGCCGTTGTAACTATACTTGAGACCTTAGAACTTATGTCTCAAGGTGGGTGGCGGCATTTACGTTGTAGATGTCTATGGGCTCCAGTAACCACTTAATATCAGGTGGGCCGTGAGATCGTCCACCCATCTAAGTAATAAAAAATAAATAAACTTATACCACGACTACAGATGAATGTTTAGCATTGGTCACTTAAAGGGTTTTAGGTTGTTTTCCGTTATTAAATCATGGTATTGGATCAAAACAAACGCAATTAAGTGGTAATAGATATTAGGTTGATTGTTCAAATGAAGTGCGCGACCTGAATAGTTTCTTTGTTAACCATAAATTAAAAATTGAAAATCCCGGCATCCCGATGATCGAATCCCGGCCTGTCCCGCACTACCGTCCCTTGGGTGCGCAATTATTCATACCATAAAATGGATCCAGTGTATACAGACATCAAAGTTTCGACTCGCCTGGGAATCGAACCGGCTCAGGGGAGGAACGCGATACGGTTAACTCGTGGCGTCATTGTGATTTTTATATCGCAAACTGAACTATTATTATTCCTACTAGGCTTTGAAGTTAATGGCCAAAGAATTTTTTTTTAAGCAACTCCTTTAATTATTTATTTTAATATTGCTTTGTTGTCATCTCGGACCATCAGCAGAATAGTCTTTTTTTTTACTTATTGCTTAGATGGGTAGACGAGCTCACAGCCCATCTGGTGTTAAGTGGTTACTGGAGCCCATAGACATCTACAACGTAAATGCGCTACCCACCTTGAGATATAAGTTCTAAGGTCTCAGTATAGTTACAACGGCTGCCCCGCCCTTCAAACCGAAACGCATTACTGCTTCACGGTAGAAATAGGCGGGGTGGTGGTACCTACAAGTGCGGACTCACAAGAGGTCCTACCGCCAGTAAATACGCAAGTTATAATTTTGCGGGTTTGATTTTTTATTACACGATGCTATTCCTTCACCGTGGAAGTCAATCGTGAACATTTGTTGAGTACGTATTTCATTAGAAAAATTGGTACCCGCCTGAGATTCGAACACCGGTGCATCGCTAGATACTAATGCACCGGACGGACGTCTTAACCTTTAGGCCACGACGACTTCAAACTTACGACCTTGAGACCTTGGCGAAATCTGTGATTATAGAACAATAGAACAATAATAAAGTTCAAACTTATAATATCAATTAATTATGGTTGAATTTCGACAACTGGGCGCCAACTAGTTATTGCAAATGTACACTGCGCGCGTTCTTCTCAATTTCCTCACAACGACGCTTCCTTCTTCGTAGCTACTCACGAAAAGACCACCGTTATATTAAGATGGGCTCCTCAG